CACACACACACACATACACAGGCAAACACACACACATACACACACACACACACACACACACACACATACACACACACACACACATAATCAAGACGGGACCCACTTTTAGTTTCATTTTTATACATCCAGAGGATATCGCCGTCACTTTGATTAAAGTTTGGATTCTTGTGGCTGGTCAGGGTGAGGGGGATCGTCCACTTGTAGCTGAGCAGGGGGAAAGAGGTGAATGATTAGTTTTAATAATAATGCGTTTTACGGCACTTGCAACACAGTTTCGGTAGGTCATAATAGTGCCAAAGTTTAGAGATGTTACAAGAGTGTAAAAGACGCTATAAGGAGGAAGATAGGGACGGTGGAATATTATGTATGTACGTTAACAGTATTTGACTTATGTCTAATCCGGCCTCAACTCAAGGCAGGGCTCTTATCAGTAAACTGAAGCAGAGGTGTCAGCAAGTTGAGGGGTTGGGGGGGGGGGACTCAAATTACAATTGAGATTGCAAGCACAAGTGGATAAACACCCATAGAGCAGAGGAAAACCAAACATTTTAACACTATGATAAAAACTAAAACAGGAAAAAGTTAAAATGATAACAAACCAAGGAATACCAATTTGTTTCACTCTCTTGCTAATAATAATTTGTCAGAGCTGAATGTTCGGAGTCTTTTCTTGGCAACACGTTTGTTTATGTTTGGAATAAAGTTCTGTGTTATGAAGATCTAAGGATGGATTACGTAAAATCTCTCGCGGGGCTGGACGCACTTGTTTGCCTGGCCGGATGTGTCCCACGGGTTTTGAGTTTGTAACACGCAGTTCAAAGGAAGGACTTGTATTGCTTGTAATAACGGTAAAGTGAGGAAAAGGGTTGGGAAAAAGGGTGAAATGGTATAGGTTTAACGCTTCTTATCAACACTATTAAGTTATAAGAGGCGGGACTTCCAAGTTTAAGGTCCATATCCGAAAGGACAGAGCCAAAAGGGAATTTCGTGTGAAGTGCCTTTCCCAGGGACACAACTGAGCTGAGGCTGCAAAATGGGGAGAGAACAGGACGATAGACTAATGTTTGATAGGAAAGAGGAACAAACCCCACCACAGCATACGCGAACCAACCACTGTGCATTCCTTCCTCTCCTCCCCCACCGTAATCTTTATTCAAATAGAGACTGTCACTTCTCTCCACCCTCCTTCCGCGCCCCCTAAATTCCTTACTTATAAGGAGACTGGTGTTCTCCCCCTCCCCCA